ACACACACACACACACACACACACACACACACACACACACACACACAAACACACAAACGTAACCCAAACAATTTGCTGTGAAAGCATAAGCAAATACATACATTTGTCAAGAGCTAGCTCAATGTCTCCAAGAAACGAATCTTTAGATTTCTATCATTACATTACATGCAGGTGCTAGAATAACTAGGAGAAAAATGATTAGTCATATAGAAAATCACAGAGATGTTGCGCATTCTGAAAAAAAAAAATAACCGGGCACTTGGTAGCTTGGCTTATTAGAAAGTTAATTTGTCCACATATCTGTTTAGCTGCAAAGAAAATGTGACCGTAAGGATGAATTCACACAGGAGGCCTGTGCCTATTACACAAGGAATTTAATGAGGCTCCTCAGGGTTGGCTGTGCTGAACACAAAGAGGAAAAAATACATAAAGGCCTTAAGCATGTGAGGAAAATGGGAAAGATATACTTACGAAGGACCGTTAAGGAAGCGGTAGCTGAACACTGGCCACGGAAATTTTTGGCCTTAACTGTGTACTTCCCACTGTCACTTACTGAGGCATTTCGGATTTCAAGAGAATATACGTTTCTGGAGCGACTTACACTGATATTTGAAGAAACAGAAATCTAAAATATAAGCGGGGGGAGGGGGGAGTGTTTCTTTGAGCTCTTCAGGAATAGATGTGGCATTTTAAATTTTCTTCGATGGTATATTCATAATTAAACTTACCGGCAAGTTGTTTTTAAACCATTCAATTTCTGGGGATGGCTCACCACTGATTTCACAAGAAAAGACAACATTTTGTCCTTCGTTGATATTTTGAGATCTGGGCTGTGAGATGAAGGCTGGAGCATCGGAGAGTTCTTTGCTCAGGGTCAGATCATACTGACATTTGATGAGCCCTTGGCTGGTTTGGCCTATGCAGGTGAGGATCCCTTCGTCTTTGTGACTGGCCTGCTTGATGGTTAGGGTCTGATCGCTGCCCGAGACACCGTATCTGTACTCCTCAGAGTTAGTGAGCTCTACGCCATTCAGTACCCATTTCACATCCGTGGCACCAGCAATGTTGGCTTTTAAGGTCACCTTCTGACCATCACTTATGCTCATCTGAGTAGAAAATGCTTTAATCTCTGCATGCGTTCTGATTTCTTCCGATGCCTTTGATGTTTTAGTGACTTCCTCATGGACAATGGATTTTTCCAGAGAGGTTGCTTCTGATTTCTTGACTTTTTCAGAAATCCGAACCTTTGAAGCTTCCTCCTTGAGGGCTAACTTTTCTTGAGATTTTACCTCTGATTTTTTCATTTCTTCAGAAATTAGGGCTTTTTGGGAAATTTCCTCTTGGACAACTGCCTTCTCTTGAGATTTCACCTCTGATATTTTCGTTTCTTCAGAAATTAGCGCTTTTTGGGAAATTTCCTCTTGGACAGCTGCCTTCTTTTGTGATGTAATTTCAGAGGTCTTTTGTGTAGAAACTTTCTGTGCCCCAGTGTCTTTTACAGCTAAAAAAGAAACCTCTGTAAGGCCGACTTAACTGGAAAGAGGCCCCGCCCACCCTTTACTCTTGGAGATTGTACAAGCGAATGAGACACAAAGCAAAGGAACATTGCCTTTTGTAGGCAGTGTAGGTAATACTTAATTCTTTCTCAGCCCTAGTCTTGGAAAATTGTCATGCATGACTTTTGAGATCAGTATAATGATTCTTTAAACTAAATTGAAGACAATTCTTATGACTTGAAAAAAAAAGTCTTGAAAAGAACAGTCAAAATATTTAGGATATGTGTGGATTTAGGAACTTTTGATAAAAAAATTGAATTATGTTATAGAAGATTGAATGAAAGCAGCCTAATTTTAATTGGAAAAGTAATCTAGCTCTTTTACTAACTGCATTGCTTGGGAAAATTACTAAGAGTGAAGGTTTATGGAAGCAGTACCATTTTGTATATTCACCCGACTTCATTCCTAAATATTCCTGGGAACAGGGGCTGCCTCTTTGGAATCTTATATACCACCATGTATAATTAGGCACTTGATAAGTGCTTTTTATGCTAATATTATGCCTTCTTTAAATATGTGTATTTCTATATTTGTGTACAAATGGTATTCTGGAATTTGGAGAACAGTTTAATACGTGTGTGTGTGTGTGTGTGTGTGTGTGTATGTATAAGGGAGAATGTTTAGAAAACTTTCCTTAATATCATTTTCTGAAAAACAATGGTAAATATAAAAGCCAACCTACCTTTTATAGTTAATTTGCAGCTAGAGGACACAGATCCAGCTGAATTTGTTACTGTGCAAGTATAAAGCCCACTGTCAGAAGTATCAGTCTTATGAACTTCTAAGAAGAAAACTCCTTTGTCTTCAGAGAGTTTGTATTTACTTCCTTGTGTAACAGCCTATAGAATGCAAGTGATTTGAGTTTTAAAAAAGAAGT